AGGGTTGAATTTTGGATGGTCGTGTGTGGAGCCAGGGGTTGGACCTGATGGTCTGTGTGAGTCCCCTCACACAGCTAAGGATATTCTATGATTCCATGATTCTATCATTTTCATTGAGTCAGCTATTTACTGTTAGTATTATCTGCAAATTTCTTCAGCCCATTTTGCTGGCAAAGAAAGCTGATAATATATCTGACTCCAGAAATTTGTTAAGGATTAGAAACTGGTGAAATCCAGGTCCTGTCTCAGTTTGTTTGGTCTACTTGACTAGAAAGAAGTGTTACTTGTAAGTAAACCTAGACAGTTGCCCATTGGAGAAGAATCAGGTACTGTAGCATTTTTTGATTCTTGAATGTTAGTCCATGACAGTTTCCTGTTGAAGGATGTAGAATCTGAAGCACTGAAAATCTATACTTTCTGTTCAGAAACACTAGTTACTGACAGAGAGATGGCTACTGCACTGAGCCCTTATTACCATGTTCAGCTGAAAGCAAAAGAAAAGAAACTAAAGAAAAAGGGAGTTCTGACTAAGACAAAGGCTGTAAAATCAGTTTAAATTACCCAATATTATATGTTTTGAATCAGTAAGAAAAGAACAATCATCCAATGTTCTGTTGACTGAGCTAGCAGAAACTTGCAGTGCTGTAGAGTTGATACCCTGCAGACTTAGAATGGGCCTATTCTATATATAATTGAACAATTTTATACAGTAAACATTGTCTTGTTGCTCCTAAAGAGAGCTCCTTTCAAAAGTTCTTTAATAGATATACAGAATAACTGAAGGCAGCAATCAATGATGATAAAATTCAGTAAATGATATGACTGTAGAGTTTAATTTCATAATGCTATAATCATCTGTATGTTTTTGTGAAACCATCCAATCAAAAGCATGCAGTGAACAATTTTGTATGCCAAAGTGCAGTGTTATGCGAAATATGTGCTTGGAGTACATAAAAGTAGACAATGCTCTCTGCCAGAAAAATATACCAAATATTTACAAAATGGGTTTTTTTGTTCTTATATCACACTGTTTCCGATTTGTACCTTCTGTATATGAAAGTCTATTTGCATTTTGTTTACAGATAGACTTTATGTTTATACCTTTTGTGTAAACATAAATTTGTGCCCTTTGTTTTCAATTTTGTGTGTACATCTTGCTTATACCCATCTTAAGTATACACATAAATTTGTCTGACCGCATATTATTGATATTTTCCAGTCCACAAATACATCAATTTCATATCACTTGTGCATACAAAAAAAAAAAAATATTTAATCCTTCAGGTAATAATGCAAGGCAATTCATCCAAACAGCATCTTTGTAATTTCTTTAACTTCTGTTTTAAGTTGTTTGGCATCTCAGCCAAAATACATCATTTCAGTAAGTTTCATCTTTTGCATTTCAGGATTATAATGATGAAATTCGTCAGGAGCAACTGAGAGAGCTGTCATATTTGAATGGTTCTGAGGATTCAGCACGTGGACGGGGTATTCGAGGAAGAGGGATCCGTGTGCCACCTGCAGCTCCTTCAAGGTGTGGTAGCTAATCTATTATGCAAATAGTTTTAGAAAGTGTAAACAATGGCAAAATAAGCAGTTAAAAATAATAATTATATACATCACAGTCATTAAATCAAACTGACTGTTTTTCTTCTGAGAACTTGTGCTATCTACATTGTTCCAGGCTCTCCAATCTGTAATTTACAGGTCATAAGGGGGGGGGGGTTGCAAGTAACAGACTGCAAATCAGAACAGATTATAAAGCTAGTGGAAGGATATGTCTGGGAGAAAGCACTGTAATGCTGATGCAGAAGCAGAATAGTTGGTGTCATAAAATCATTGGTCAATAAAATGGCATTCTGTGCTGTAGACAAAGAAGGCTACATAGTCTGGATAGCTGTTTATTTGCTAACTCATTACTTATTTTTGGCATAATATATGAATAATACTAGGCTATAGTCTACATATTAAATTGTATTTTATTTGTTGTATATGTTATCACTTGTATATGAATTTCTCTGATATCATCTAAAAGTTTTGGTATATGAATGTTTCCTGAATTCCTGCAAGTATTTTTTTGTGTATATGTGTGTGTGTATTGTCAACATATACCTCTGCATGTTCATGAAGACAGTACATAATCTTCCTGTAATCCTTATGGCTCATTTTTGAATGTGAACTCTTAAAAATTTGTTGCCTAAGATATTTATCAGGCTACTCATAGGCCTGGCAAGTGGTGCTAAGAAAAACACGTACTTTAGAGGGAATGCAATACGGAGCTTCCTTGATTGTGCTCACAGAGAAGTTGTTCTTTGGTAATTGAACTGGCCGATCTTGTGCCCCTTTTTCCTTCCTGGAGAGTGTTTTCCCTCTGTTCTTGATATTTATTTTTTTTTTAATCTGTAATATGTTACACACACCCAAGACATTGTACATTAGACATTCATGACCGTCTTCAAATGGAAGTGTTCTGAAGCTCAGAAATTAGATTTCCTTGCTACGATGATCAGTGAGGAACTTGACTGTGATGTTCACAACATCATTGCAACAGGCAGTTTTAAATTAGTTAAAGTATAATCAGTGGACTGCTGGCTTCCCTTCTTGTTGAACACTACTGACTGGAGCAGTAGGACAGAAACTAGGATCTTGGATACTTTCCTTACTTAACAGTAAGAAATCCCAGAATGTTAAAAAAGGAGTAAGGGAAGAAAAAAAAAAAAGAAAAAAAAAGGACCTGAAATATCGAAGTTAAATATGTTGCTCTAAAAGTAATGCCTCCTACTTATTTCCATGGAAGTTACTACAATAGAAAGAATATAATAGAACTGTAGAACTGTTTGGTAGAGCAAATCCTCAGCTACAACACTATTTTTATATATAAAATTACATACTGAAAGGAAAATCATAGATTGTTTCTCTGATACATCCTCCTTCTAGTTTGGGAAATCTAGTTACCAGAACCTCTTTTTAACCAAGATCAGCTGCTGCTGCTTCTGACATACCAGTGTTTTGGATATAGCATAAATAAGGGACAGAATGCTAAACTAAACCTTTCTCTGCTTGTCTTTATGCACTGCTCTCTCTGTAAACTGGGGAAGGCCAAATCTCATGCTATCCTTTGCTTGTGCTGAACTAAATTGAACAGGAGGGAGAAGTTCTTACTCTCCTTTTATGGTCCCTGCTTTGCCTTGCCCTTTTCTGCTATCCAGAATCATCTTCTGCCAGACAAATTCTACCATCCACCAATAAACATGAAACTGACAGTGATGACTGCTTTTGTATTTTGGAAGCAATGGAAAAAATCCTCATTTTTTTCTTGTTTTGGAACTACTTCAGAGTAACTCTGCAAATTGAATCACACTGCTCCAGGATTTCATTAGTACAAGTAAAAAAGAAGGATCAGATGTAAAAAGCACTGAGTAGCTTAGAAATAATGTCTTTCCATAACAGAAGTTCTGCATGAGATACTGCCTAAAAGAGCTTGACATCATAGCTGCCAAAACCCATAGCAGCATGACACTTTAAATTGCAGTAAAAATACAAAAGCCTTTATAGTGGGGTAGCACTTGCCTGTCCTCCCTTCACATACACCCCAGTGCATTCACTTCTTTTTGCTCCCACAGGGGCCGTGGGGGTGCAATTCCTCCACCCCTTCCCGGACGAGGTGCCCAAGCACCCAGAGGAGCACCAGTGACTCGTGGAGCTCTCCCTGTCCCACCTGTAGCAAGAGGTGTTCCCACACCTCGAGCAAGGGGGGCCCCAGCGGTCCCAGGCTACAGACCACCCCCACCACCTGCACATGAGGCATATGAAGGATATGTAAGTAATTGCATGCATCAATAACAGACGTGAGCCAAACTGTTGTGGTGAACTACCAGTATCTCTGGAGCTGAAGAATCTAGTCAAATAAGCTCTCTGTCTCTACTGCATACCTCCTGCTGGTGAATCACAGTCTAGGTGATATAATGTGGCAGCAGAATTATGGTTCGGGTGATGTGAGTTCACAGAGCTTTTCACAGCTTAGTTTTGGATATGAGAAGATTGTGCTAGTTAGCTCTCAGTTTATTGCAAAAGAGCAATTCAGGCTATAAATGTAGTCTGAAGACTGCTGTAGTTGAAAAATACTGTTTATTGTAGGTGAAATTCTTAGGAATAATAAATAATATCCTTTCTTGGAAAATAAGTTTTCTTTATTCTTCTGCATCCTTATTACATAAGTATGTATGGATTTTTTACTTGTATTCATAGTTGTGTTACAGATGCCTAACAAATAGAAATACAGTTATTTTTCATTTAAACTGATACAATTATGCATATTTAGCAGGAAGTAGTAGTAACTGTCACCTTTTCTTATGAGGTGTTACGAGTAATTGCGCTGTAAACATCAAGCCTTTCAAGTCATCCTCATTAATGTTCCCTCCTGGAACTATCACCATAACAACAGATATTCAAGTAGAGGAAAAAATACTGTCATATATAGAATCTGACTTTTCTGAGCTGTAACAAATCCAAAGGTAAGAAAGATGAACAACACATCCACACTTTAATTCTATCACTGGGAGAATCATTGAGAAGATAGCATTTTATTGAGAAGATTCAGTTTTATTCAATTAGAGGCCTTCTTTTAAAGCTTTACTCAACCATCTGTTTTTGAAGAATAGAGGCTAGATCATTTCAAATGGCCATTTCAAATCAGGGGCACACTTTCTGTCAATGCCAAAAGCCAAAACTGAACAACAGCTGCAAAAAAAGAGGAGGGAAATTAAGTCCCTGCTATTATTTACCTCAACACAGTTTCTATTTTTAAATGAGTATAAAGCCCTGCTTGAAAAAAAAAAAAAAGAAAGAAAGAAAGAAAGAAAAGAAAAATAAGTATTAAAAAAAAAGTATATCCCTCATTTATGGATAATATATAGATAGGCAGATATAGTATATCTGTTTGTTACATAATATATGAAATCTTCTTGTTCTGTGCAGAGTTCTTTTCCTAATCCACAAGTGACAATTTCAAAACAGGATCTTTGTAATTTAAGATTAAGATTATAAATGAAGTAAATCTTTTTTTCATATACAGTGCTGGTAAATATCCTAAGATATTAAACAGATTTTAGGAAACATTTCTTAGCCATTTCCTGTTTTGCAAATATAAAGAAAGAAGAAGTTGAGACAGCTGGATTACAGAAGATTAGGAAAATATTCAGGCAATTCTACATGACTTTTACTCTCAGAAACACAATATATACACACAAAAGTGATTTTAATTTATAATAGAGTACTGCAATGAAACCAAACACATTTGTGCTTTTATTTTACCTACTTAAGTAACAGTAAACATTCTTCTTGTAGAGCAAAATCATGTGTTTTGGAGATCCTTCAGTCTCCTACATCCTTCCAACATCTATATTTCACAGCTGAGAATATATGGGCTTTTCCAGATTTGTCGTTATCCAACAGTTTACAATGAAAATCTCTCTCTTACCAATTTGGAGAGACTAATGAACATAATCCAAATACATCCTGCTATCTTGTGAACTGAGATAATATTTAAAACTGTAGGTGTACAGGTGGAAGGAAAAGTTCAGTGTTAATAATATTTTAGGGGAAAATATTTTTAATTTTGAATGTAGTAATGAACACCATTTTTCTTCCTAAATAGCAATTATACTATTTATCTGTCTTGATGCTGAAACCAAGTGAATTCATTTGTTGACCAGCAACAAATGTCATGTGTAATTGTTGTTCTTTCACAATCAATCCCAGAGATGAAAAACTAAATTACAATGAATAATTTATCCAATTTACTCTGTCTCATTTTCTGCTTGTAGGCAACTCACGAATAACTCAAGAATAGTACAATTTCTTTATATGTTTATGTCTTTCATTTCTGAGAGTGGTACTCCACTGCAAATTTTGCATAGGATATGCAAGCACCTTTGGATTGATTAGTAGTGCACATGAATGCAGTGTCACTGATTTTGTCTAACTGCATTTTTTATTTTTCTTTGCTCCAATAAAATATACTCATTTTGATGCTAAGTTCAAAGTGAATTCAAGAAATAGAATAGGATGGATGCAGCAGACTTTTTTTAATGTCTCAACAGTTTTTCCTGAAAAAAAAAATATATATATATATATATAT